ACAGAGGGCTGAGTGATACTAGCAATCACAGCATTGTAAGAGGGGGAAAGTTGAACACGGAGGCTCCACCCCTGTTTAATGATGGACGGTTTCTTTTCACAAAGATGGCCTCCTTTACTCCTCTCTCAAACCATCGTTCCTCTCTGTCCAGGATGTGAACATCTTCATCCCTGAAAGAGTGACCGCTGGCCTGGAGATGAGTGTAGACCGCAGAGTCCTGGCCTGATGATGTTGTGTGCTGGTCCATCCTTTTGGCCAGTGGCTGTTTAGTTTCCTCGATGTAAGACTGATCACCCTCCTGACACTGAACAGCATACACAACATTACTCTGTTTGTGCCGGGGGACTGGATCTTTGGGATGAACCAGTCTTTAATGTATTTTGGGGTTTAAAAGCCACTGGGACGTTATGTTTAGAAAATAAACGTCTCAGTTTCTCTGATACCCCCTCAACATATGGAATGACCACTGGTCTGGGTCTGGGTTCCTCCTAGACCCAGACCAGTGGTAATGTAAATGTAAATAATAAATCTTCATACACCAAAGTTAGTCATGGAGTTCCTCAGGGCTCAGTGCTTGGACCAATACTCTTTAGTGTATATATGCTTCCATTAAGTAAAGTTATTAAACAGCATGGGATAAATTTTCGTTATGCTCAAGACATAAAAACCTGGATGACCCTTAATTTTCTCCTGTTGAACAGACAAGACTGAGGTTTTAGTTTTTGGACCTGAGCACCTTAGGAATGAATTTTTCAGTCTTTTGCCCTCCTTGGATGGCATTATTCTGTCCTCCAGCTCTAATGTTAAAACTCTTGGTGTTATTTTTGATCAGGACATGTCTTTTAACCCGCACAATAAAAACGTTACTAGAACTGCCTTCTTCCACCTGTGTAATATCACTAAAATTAGAAACATCTGATCTAAAGATGATGCAGAAAAACTGGTCCATGCATTTGTCACATCTAGACTGGACTATTGCAATGGTTTATTATCTGGGTGTCCAAATACTACTTTAAAACATCTTCAGTTGGTCCAAAATGCTGCTGCCAGAGTCTTAACTAGAGTTACTGGGAGAAATCATATTTCTCCAGTTTTAGCTTCTCTCCATTGGCTCCCTGTCAAATCCAGAATAGAATTCAAAATATTACTTCTAACCTACAAAGCTCTCAACAACCTGGCTCCATCTTATATTACAGATCTTATTGTTCCATATTTTCCTAACAGAGCAGTTTGCTCTCAGACTGCAGGTTTACTTGTGGTTCCTAGAGTTCCTTCCTTCCTAGAGTTTCCAAAAGCAGAATTAGAGGCAGATCTTTCAGTTATCAGGCTCCTCTCTTGTGGAACCAACTTCCAATCTCTGTCCGTGAGGCTGACACATTATCCAGTTTTAAAACTAGGCTTAAGACTTTCCTTTTTGATAAATCCTATAGTTAGGGTCGGCTTGGGTTTCCTGAGCTGTCCCTTAGTTATGCTGCTATAGGCTTAGACTGCTGGAGGACAAACTGACCACACTTTTCACTCTGCTACTGTCTTTACTTACTCTGCTCAACCTGTTTTGTATTTGTAATTATTTTTTCTATCCTTGACCTGTTTTGGTCTTTCAGATACACCTGGACCTATACCTGGACCTACCATTCTGTGTTGGTCTGTCTCTCCTTCCTGTCCTCTCAACCAGCCGGTCAAAGCAGATGGCCGCTTGTCCTGAGTCTGGTTCTGCTGGAGGTTTCTTCCTGTTAAAAGGGAGTTTTTCTTTCCACTGTCTCCACTGTGCTTGCTCAGGATGGGAGACTGCATCGAAGCCAAGATTCAACTTGTCTGCTGGATTCCTTAGATAGAGAACTTTACTAATTGGCTTTTTTATATACAGTATACAAATGTTTCTGTAAAATGCCCTGAGACAACTTTGTTGTGAACTGGCACTATATAAATAAACTGAATTGAATTGTTAGGGACATACGGCTTCACCTTGGTTATAAGTTTTAATCTGAAAAACTTTATCTGTTTCCAACTTAAAATACATTTTTAAAGGTTTTAACCAGCTCAAAAGTGCAACTGCTTCAGTTCTGTTATTGCTGACCAGATGGCATTTTTCTACATTTACTTTTATGTTCAGTAGAAGTTTAAGTGCTGTTTAAAGGAGACACACATGGATGTCAGGAGAAGGAGGCCCAGTCATGCTGCCCACCTCAGTCTGCTCATTTTCTGCAAATAGGTGAGCGTGATGGCAAAACTCATGCAGCTCAGAGCTGATTTGAGAACATGTTTGTGTTGTTTTGTGGCCAGGCAAATGTTTTAGAAGAGGAACTTGTCAGTTGATCTCTATTACTGATAAAAAAATAAAAAATAAAAACAGAACATTTTTCTCCTGAAGTAAAGTTTCCCCCAGCGGTTGATTTCTGCTAAATGTTTTCCTTGCACACAGTTACAGCAGCCTGCTGAACACCCACTGCAATGCCCCAGAGGAGGACGATGAGACCATGAGCTTAGAGGAGCGAGAAGCCAGCCTGCTCCACAAACTGGGAGACCCCCGCCAACTCTCAGAGCGCAGCACAGTCGGCGACGACACCATGTTCAGCAGACAAAGATGGAACAGGGGGCAGGAAGGCTCGCTACCCCCAAACAGCTCCAGCTTCTGCTCATCCCAGCCACCTCATAGCCTGTCACCTGGATACAGCCAGCCGACTCCGTTTCCGAGCCAGGTCAGCTGGCTCCACCAGAGCCTGGACACCAGCTGGTCGGGGTATCCCACCAGCCTGCCATCCTGCCTGAGCCACAAAGACGACACAAACACTTGTGAGGAGAGATGCCTCTCCAGATACAAGTCTCTGTCCCTCCCCAGCCAGCACAGCACCAACATGATCAGCTTGGAGCAGCCGCTGTCTCTGCGCTCCAACCCGCCTTCAGCTGAGCTGTACCACCATACGTTGTCTTCATACTCGGGTCCACCTCAGGGGCCTGCGTGTTGTGCTCAGTGTCCTGTTGATGCCTTCAGCAGGAGGCCTGTGGCTAACAAGCAGCCCTGGACTCAGTATGGTCCATCTTATGGCCCATACTGTAAGTCTGCTCATCTGATTCTACAAATCAAAAATGGTAAAAGCAGCTGTTGTGACATAGACAACTTTATATTTTTATCTTTTCTCCTTCAGATCCAGAAGACTGCAGACTTCCTGCAGCTGCATTTGGACAGATGTGAGTTTATTTTATTTGGAATAATCAATCTGAGACCCAATGGGCACATTAAATCTGTAAATTATGTTGAAGTCTTTATTTAATTTTTTTACCTTCATGTAGTGGTCCCAATGCTCTGACCAAAGACAGACACCTGGCATACAGCACACCTCTTTCTCTGGAACAGAGTAAGTGTTGAGACCCCACACCAGCACATCGAGCTGCTGCACACCAAGTGTTTTCACTTTTCTGTTTTAAATGCAGGGAGGGTCTTTGTTACTTATGAAGCAGACAGTGACAAGCATGTCAACCAGATCATCAACTTTGTGGCTCTGCTGCGACACAATGGCTTCGATACTCACGTACGAATATTCCCTCCCTTAAACCAATGTTTTTTGTCTCTTACACCCTAAGTATTTTCACAAATTAAATTATCAAAATGTTTATGATGAGTCAAGCTGTGGTTCCATTTGCAGCATTTTGACTGTTCCTGCAGTTGTTAAATTATTTGAGTCTTAGCATTGCTTTAGAGACATTGTAAAGCTTTAAAAATTGTGCTTTAACTCAGCATGAGATTTGTTTTATTCTGCCCAGAACAATGTCTACAATGCAGTTTTCAGGTAGAAAATAATTTGCTGTGTCTTTTTAGAAAAATGTCTACTGAAACTTTAGACAGATTTTAATGAAACTCAGAAAACAGTCATTATTAGACTGATAGAAGTTAACCGATTAACTTTTTGGAGTCAACCTGATTCAAGATGACAGCCACAGCTGATCACATTAAGCCAGTTATACCTCAGTCAGTTTTACAGATATTTAGCCAAGATCTGAGTTGGTAGTAGTCAAAACTCATTCACAAAAGTTTGACTGAAATGATACAACTCAGTCATTTTTCATCATAAAGTGATCTTAGTTTAAAACTGCTGTTGAAGTTAACAAATAATAATATTAAGAAAAAATATACATATATATATGTATATATATATATATATATATGTATGTGTGTATATATATGTATATATATATATATATAT